CGATAGTCGCTCTCCGGCCGTATTAACCGACCGTGGCATTAGAATAAATGCCGAATATAATCGCGAAAATATTCTGTAGGGTGTATTAAAGCCTTGGGCATGTAAACATTTTGGCCGCAGACCTTGGACATTCCAGCAGGACTCAGCACCATCGCACTCAGAACTTGCCACCCAAGAATGGTTACAAAATGAGGTTCCTTGTTTCATTTCCAGCGCACAATGGCCACCAAAATCTCCGGATACCAATCCGTTGGACTATTGTGTCTGGAGTATTTTGGAAAGCAAGGTTGGCACTAAAAAATACCAAAGTGTCGATCACCTCAAGCAAGCGCTTCGCCGGGAATGAGCCAAAATACCGCAGAGCAATTGGCCGTTTGAAGGCCATAAGTCGTGCCAAAGGTGACGAATTCGGACAAATCTAAACTTATTGCAAAACATCCGACATGTTTTGCTTTCATCCAATAAAATTAAAAAAATATGGCCTTTGACCTTGTTGCAGTTTTATTATCTCACCCTGTACATCTTCATCTGATTTTACGGTTATTGTTCGCCATATATTTAATATCAGCCCAACCTGGATAATTTTCTTCATATTCAACCAATTTTTTCCGCTCTAATATTTTATACCCTCCACCATACATAGTATGGAGGGTATATTAAGTTCGTCATTCCGTTTGTAACTCATCGAAATAATAATTTTAGACCCCACAAAGTATATATATTCTTGATCAACGTAAAATTCTAAGACGATTTAGCCCTGTCCTTCCGTCTGTTGTAATCACGCTACAGTCAAAACGAATTAGTATAGGAAGCCAAAAATTTGCACAGATCTGACTTTTGTCTTGAGGCAAGTCAAGTTCGAAGATGGCCTGCATCGGTCCACGATATCGTATAGCCCCCCTATAACGGTACCCCCGGATATTCGGTATTTGGATGATTTTTGCCACATTTTTCAACGGAATTGTCTGAAATTATACACAAGGAGTTCTTTGTCAACACTTTATCCCCTGCAAGATAATTTCTATAGAGGTCCACGATATCGTATAGCCCCCTTTAAACGGTACCCCCCGATATTCGGTATTTTGATGATTTTAGCAACATTTTCAACGGAATTGTCTGAAATTCTACACAAGGAGTTCTTTGTGAGTTCTTTACCCCCAGACATAGATTTGTCTATATAGGTCTACAATATCGTATATTCCTTCTATATATCGGCACCTTGCTATATTCGGTATTTTTAAGATTTTATCAAAATTTTTAATGGATTTTACTTTTTTTTTTAAATTTCCTAATTTGTTCCAAATGGTGGAGGGTATCCACTTACTGCTTTTTTACTTGTTTTAATATAATCGATATCGAATTCATATCATAACAATGTTTTTGCATACAAAGTCCTCCGTCAAATTTTTGGAAAATCGATTCAGAGTTTGGATATAGTTCCCAAATTGTGACTACTCTAAAACCATGATACGCAGTCAAAAGAGGTTCGTATTTGGTATGATCTACTTCACATCAAGTCCCAATATATTTTTTATAGGAGCTATACTAAATACGCACATATATCATATAGTCGGCCCCGCCCAACTTTTGACTTTTCTTTAATGTTTTTTTTTTTTTTTTTTTTTTTGTGGTCAGAAGGAAAAAAATGAAATTGGTATTTTTTTTATCCGAATTTTTTTCTATAACACAAGTAATGTGTTTTATTCGCCCCACATACAGCTGAGTAAAATGAGTATCCTAGTAATTTGTTTAAACTTTTCGAGGGTAATATTTTAAGCAATCTGCTTTACTTTTCATTTATTTATTCATAAAATAATTTCTTCGGTAATCGTTTCTTATTGTCGTCCATTCGTCCTTCCAACTCAATGGCCAACAACAAACTTTTCAATCTCAAGTGCAGCCATAAAACTTAACAGCCCTTTTCGCAAACAATTGTAATTTGTTAAAAACTACTCTTCTCGCTTTTCCATGCAGGCTGGCCAACAGTTGCCGGTGATATTGTTTTTCCAAGATGAATTTGGAACAAACTTCTTTGTTGCTTGCCCATGACCAAACTAGAGTGCTGGCAGGCCAGCATTTACCCGAATGGCGGGTAAATGAAATGGAAAAGAAAATCTACAAAAAAAAAAAGAAAAAAACAAATGCAAGAAATTAAAAGTTTATTTTAAGCTTTGTTACATCTCTGTTGTAGTTTTCGTTTCTTGGTAATGAAAACTAAATTTCCTGCAATTTCTTTGCCATAGGGAAAGCTTTTTTTTCATCCACAAGATGAGTGAGGGTGGTTGGTTTTGTCTTCAAAGAACTCATTTGTTGGATGGTTGGTTTTTTGTGTTCTTTTTTTTTGCATGTGTTTGTAATGACAGTAAAAACCCCCCATTTGAATGAAAGTGGAGTCAAGCAAAAAGGTACAAATTGCTGGTAGTTAGTAAAGTAGCATACTCACGCCCAGTCCGGAGGGGGTTTTAACAATAAGAGAAAAAAATTGGTAATTATTAGATTTAACACTGCAATTAGAATGAGTTAAATGGTCAAGACGATTATCAGATTATAACTGTTTGCTTTTTTACCCTACAATCGGGCACACAACTCGCTGCAAGAACAAACTAAGGGAAATTCTGGCGTTAAATGAATATAATAAAGCCAGAGAAAAGTAGCAACCCTGGAATGAGTTCTGCTTATCGCTAGCATCGAAGCAGCAAATATACGAATGCTGCATGAAAAAACGACACGAATTAACTCAAACCCTATAATTACTCCGATGACTATCTCGACATCCTGCTTAAAACACTCTTCCCGGGTTTTACATATATGAAGTCGAAAACGCGACAAGATCAAAGAATGATAATAACACAAAATAGTAACAAGATGTTGTGATGAATATAAAAATATCCGCCACGAAAGCGACGGCCACACTTTTCACCTAGAACCTAGTCTAAATGTGCAGGTCGATGCTGTTTTTATTCAGACCACCAATTATTAAAGGTCGTCCGCGCATACTACAGCTATCTGCCATGAGATCTGTAGCAGGAACAAGTTTCACAAGTTTCTGGTTGGCCGCTCTTAGGGAACTGATAAATAAAACTGGTTGACCTTGCAACGCAATAGTCTGGTCTGTACTAAACTATCCGGTGTGGTTCGTCAACGTAAGATCGCCGCACTAGGGACCGCAAAAGTGTGCTTCCTAATGCCACCAGTTGACCATTACATGAATACGTGAATTTCTTTCCGGGATAATAAAATGCAGCATAGTGAAATTCTGTGGATGCAATACTTGTTTGGGTGCTATAAAAGACAACTGACCCAATTACAGTGTGGTGGATAGGCAAACTCCGGCAAAAGGCAAGTACGAAAAGTCCTCTATAACCTAGAGAGAGAGAGAGAGAGAGAGAGGTGGAGAGATTAAAGAAAGTGTCCCCAGATCAACAGGCCTATCAAGCAGGACCTACCGTTGTATGTGTGCTATACGATATCGTGGACCCATGTAGGTATTTCTCTTCTAGGGTGTAAAGTGCTCAGAGAGAACTTCTAGCGTGGATTTTTAGGCAATTACATTGAAAAATGTAGCTAAAATCTTCAAAATACAGAATATCGGGAATACCGTTGCATGGGGGCTATACAATATCGTCGACCGTTATAGCCCATCTTCGAACCTGACCTGCCTGCAGACAAAAGACTAATCAGTGCAAAGAATTTTACGCTGATCACGAATATATATATACTTTCTTGGGTCTAAAATTATTATTTCGATGGGCTACAAACGGAATGACGAACTTAATATACCCTCCATACTATATATGGTGGATGGTATAAAAACACAGATACAAATTAAAATTATAGCACCCATTTCCAAAATCACCTACATATGTCTAGGCCACACATGAACAGTGATCCTATACCAAATTGTAGATTTCAAGCACTATCTGTTCACCCATTATCAAATTGTACAAAATATAGTACTATTCTGTAATTGTGGCACACTTAGTACACATTTCCAAAACCACCTTCAAACTTACTTTCCAATCTTGATTCCCATAACAAACTACAAAGTTCGAATTTCGAAAAACCCTTTTATACGTCTGCCCTTCACTCCATCAGTGACTCTCAGAGACAAAAGTCTACCTCCTTTCGTTTTTCCATTACAATCAATTTTAAGTACATTTTAGTACTTTTCGTACGCTTTTAGTACGAATTCCCAAAATACCCAGGCTTATTACAGGCTTATCCTATACCAAATTTTAGATCTGTTCACCCACTATCAAATTGTACCAAATATAGTACCATTCTGTAATTGTGGCAGAATTCAGAGGGAAAATTGCTACTGTCATATTTTCTAGATTCATTTAAAGTACGACTATCCGAAACAAAATTTCTCCTCAATGTCAAATTACAGGTTTATCCCGAAATGTTCCTTCTTAATAGATAGTGTATAAAAGTTATGTTTGGCTTTACATTTAATCTTATTGCTTTTTTTAAGCTTCCGAAAAATTAGCCTTCGTAAATGTTATACCAAATTCACCTGTAACTTACGAAGTGGTGGTAAATTTTACTCTCTCTTCACGTTTTATTGAAATTCTGTATTCTATCATTCATTTAAATGCAAAAAAATTAATAAAAAAAAAAAATAAATAAACTTGTAAAATTAAGAGGGGGGGTTAATTTATAAAATATGATGCCATGAACTTTATAATCATTTAGTTTTCTCTCACGTTTTTTATTTTTATTTATCTCAATAATAACTTCAAAGTAAATTTAAAAATATTGACCAATATCGCATATAGCAATACTACCTCCATTAAACATGATTTCGATATTAGAATTTTTGATTGCATGAAGCTTACTTAATTTCTTTTTTTTTTTTTTTTGTGGGTTTTGCTCCCATCCCTTGAGTACACAACCAATACCAGTTTTTCGATTTCTCTTTCCTTTGGAAATTTCAAACATCATCGTCCCAATCACGTATGTATGTCTGCATAAAACATGAATTCATTAAAAACACTTACCGTTTCCTTGTTAGCCTTTGATTTTGATAGAACTTCTTCCAGCCAAATCCATTGTTTCTCTGTATCTTGATTTTCAAATTCCGACAAAGCACTTACACGTCCACCCGTCTCCATGCCATTGTAGTGCATGCTCCCGGGCATTACATTAATGCCACGATGATGGCTGCCATAGCCATAGCTATGGCCTGATGTCCAGTCGCCGGCATGACCGTGATGTTGATGCATGTTGCCATGATGGTAATAATAATTTTTGTATTCTGATGAATCGGAGCCACCACCGCCGCCACTGCCGACTGCTGCACCATTCATCATGGCATTGGATGGCATACGTTGCCTAACAGCTGCCAAATGGCTTTGCGAATATTTTGGATCATGTCGCATGAAATTTGTATTCAATGCTATAATACGGAGACGGCTTTTTGTTTGCTCAATGGAATAATAGCCACCTGAAAAACAAGAGAAGCAGACAGAGAACAATTTAGTACAACAGCTCAAAGATACAGAAGAATAGAAGAAGAAACAAGACAAAACAACGAGACCCAAATTCTTCAGGGGCAGATATTTGAACAGCAATCCCCATCTCTCTCTCCAACTCTCTAGACATTCGAATTTTAAATGAAAATTCCTTCGCAAAGGTATGTCAACAAAGTGAACAAAACAATTGCCAGCCTCCCACTCAGACGTTGCTCCCATTGAATTCACTGTTGGATTTCCAATACAAGATTATTCCCTAATCAAGACACTGGCTTGTTTATTAGTTTTTGTTGTCCCAAAGCGAGAGGACATTCTGTAATGTTTACCCAACGGGGAGAGCAACAATCGTTTATTCAATTGCAGGGCAAATTGAGGCAATATTTTCGAATATAAAATGCTAAATAAAATGGATGTACAAATAAATGGGCAGTTATAAGAAGCAATATGAAACATGGATGTCAGGTTATACTGAAAAAAACACAATAAAACAACATAGAGCTATATTATTTGTCAAGCATCTGGTACTGTCGTCGGCGGTCGTATTTTTAAGGCGTTTTAGATTTAGACATTTTAAAATATCTTAAATGTACTGATATCGTTCACTGGGTACTTGAAATGGCAAATTATAGCAAAGTTGGTAGGAACATATCATCAATGTACCTTATATTGGCGGTATTGGTTAAGATGTTGAACCTTGCCAAGCATTTCCTACGAGTTGACTAACTTACTAACATCAGTGACTGAAATCTCCAATTTTTCTAGTAAATAACAAAAATTGGCAAAACTTATATTAAATGTTTAAAGTGTGTGTGAATTCACTACGCTAAAGCAAATTCAAATTTTAAACTCTCCACCACAGTATGTGAGTGTAAATTATGTTCGTCGTTCCCTTTGTAACACCTCGAAATATAATAGTATGAGAGTGTATATTAAGTTCGTCGTTCTATTTGTAACTCCACGAAATATGCTTATACCGTACACCACAAGGTGGTCAGGGTATTAGTCTTTGTGCATTTGTTTGTAACAGGCAAAAGGAAACGAGATAGACACATAGTTCCTTTTGATGATCTGCATAGAATCACACTCTGAGTCGATTTATGCATGTCCGTCCGTCCGTCTGTCCATGTATTTTTGTAAACAAAGTACAGGTCGCATTTATTGCCCGATCCAGAAGAAATTTTGCACAGAACATTCGTTTGGCCCAAGGACGAACCCTATTGAAATTGGGAATAATCGGTCAAAATTTAGATATAGCTCCCATATATATCTTCGTCCGATTTGCTTTTTTTTGTGCACCAAACGTGTAATATCAGCCCGAATAGTATGGAATTTTGCACATACAACCAAATCTAAAATAAGTATGCCAAATTTGATCGAAATCGCAGCCGTAATATGCACTCTGTAACAACAATATTTGGGAAAATTTATCAAATACAGCTCAGAAATACATTTGCTAAATTTTATCAAGATCGGTTCAGATTTGGATATAGATCCCATATATAACTTCGTCCGATTTACCTTTTATTGTGCACCAAACGTCTAATATTTGTCCAAATGGGATGAAATTTGGCACTTACGACCGAATTGAGTCTAGAAGCTAGTATGTCAAATTTGGTGAAGATCGGTTCAGATATAGCTATAGCTTCCATATATATTGGTCATCCGATTTGTTATATTTGTTACCCACAACCGTAATATGCACTCCGTAACAACGATATTCAGGGAAATATATCAAATATAGCTCAGAAATATATTTGCCAAACTTTATCGAGATCGGTTCGGATTTGGATATAGCTCCCATATATATTTTTATCCGATTTAAATTATTTGTGCACCAAATGGGCAACATAAGTCCGAATTTAAAAAACACAATTGATTCGGCATGTTTATTCCTTTTAACTTTAAATTATAATTTTAATCGTAGCCTGTATAATTGAATTCTCCCATAAAAACTTTTAATTGGTTTGCGGAGCTCTACTAAATTAGCAAAGTGGCCGTCATAAAGACGGCCCCGCCCGACAAAGACTTTCTTTACTGGTTTTTAGACATCACAAAGTGTATATATTTTATTGATCAGCATAAAATTCTATGTCGACTTAGCAATGTCCGTCCGTCTGTCTATCTGTCCGTCTGTAAAAATCACTCTAGATGTGTGCTAGATCTGCAGGACTTTTGGTATTGAAATGGGTATATAGAGAGGCCCACTTTTTTTTATAGGTTCCATATAAGGGCACCCCCCCTATGCTTGGTATTTTGAAGATTGTAGCAACATTATTCACCAGAATTGTATCAAATTTTATATTTGAAGTTCCTAGTGGATACTACTGCCTATGACCGAAAAATGCATATGCGGGTCTAGGTCTTCGTATTTCCTCCATATAACGGTACCTCCCTATATTCATTATTTTAATGATTTTAGCTACATTATTCACCGGAATCGTTCGAAGTTTCGTATTTGAATATCGTATTGAATTAATATTTCCACGTCTTCGTGGATGAGGCGCCAAATTTATCGCTAACTCCCTATATTCGGTACTTCTATGATTTTAGATGTTTTCTTGTTGGTGTTTTTTATACCCTACACAATATAGTGGTATAACATGGAGAGGGAAGAGAAATAAACCCATAGTTACTTTTGAGGATCTTCATAAAATCAATTTCTGAGTCGATTTCTGTATGTCAGTTCATCTGTCCGGCCGCTTGTCCACGAATTTTTGTGAACAAAATGCAGGTCGCATTTATTATCCGATTAAGATGAAATTTTGCAAACAATATTTGCTTGGCCCAAGGACGAACCCTATTGAAATTGGTGATAGTCGAATCAGATTTAGATATAGCTCCCATATATATCATACACTGGTTTGGGCTTAATTGTGCACCAAATGGCCAATATCAGTTCGGATGACCTTAATTTCGATATATCCGACTGAATTCGGTCTAGCAGCAAGTACATTAAATTTAGAGAAAATCGGTTCAGATATAGCTATAGCTCCTACATATATGTTTCATTCGATTTTCTCTAGATAACTTATGGACCTCAAAAATACAGCAGTCAAATTTTATCGAAATAGGATTAGATTAGGATATAGGTTTATTGTTTATTGTGCACCGAATGGCTAATATAAGTCCAAATGGACTGAATTTTGCCAATTTCGACTGAATTAATTTGGAAAACAAGTACTTTAAATTGAATGAAAATCTGTTCGGATAAAGCTATAGCTCCCACGTACATGTTTCATCCGATTTGGTGCTAAAGTCCCTCACATGCGTAATATGCACTCCACAACAACAATTCAGCTCACATGCGTAATATGCACTCTAGATATCAGATACAGCTCAGAAATAAGTGTTTAAGATTTTGTCAAGAACAGTTCAGATTTGGATATAGCTCCCATATATATCTTTTTTACATTTCAGGTTTTTGTGCACCAAATGGCTAAGGTCAGCCCAACTGGACTGAATTTAGGCAGATCCGACGGAATTCAGCCTAAAAACAAGTGCTTCAAATTTCGTGAAAAATCGATTCAGATATAGCTATAGTTCCCATATATGTGTTTCATCCGATTTGGTGTTGAAGTCCTTCACATGCGTAATATGCATTCCATTGATGTTTGATACTGGGTATCAGATACTGCTCGAAAATATCTCTACCAAATTTTATCGAGATCGGTTCAGATTTTTTGATGGCTACGATATACATCTTCATCCGACATGTAATATCAGCTCAAATTGAAAAGATTTTTTCATATTCAACCGAATGCTACCATTTATTTTGAAACTACTTACGGTATGTTCTCTTAAAATCCACAACTACATGAAGACATCAAGTAAATGGAATGGATGAAATACAAACAAAATCAAAAATCAGTAATTACATACCCCCTGACGAACTTAAGTGACCCTTTACACTTAAATGACAATTCCGGTGAATAACGTCGCTAATTTCATCAGAATACGGGATTAAGGGAGCTACCGTTTTATGGGGACGTTGATCTTCATAGAAAATTTTCGGTCATAGGTTGTAGTACCCATTACGAACTTCAAATACGAAATTTGACGAAACATTTTAACTATCAGTTGTGTAGTGTTAAACAGAAAACAGGTAAAATAGCAGTTAAAACAGAAATTTTAATATCCTCCACCATTTCAAAAAAAAAAAAAAAAAAAAAAAAAAAAAAACTCGCTAAAATTATTAAAATTCAGAATTTTTAATATTCGGATGGTACATTTATATGGTGGACCTGTACACCAGAGAAGCACTGCCTTTTGCGAACCCGAAATAGGAATTTTGATATAAGTCCGTGAGAAAAACCGGCAATATACACATTATCGGAAGCTACCATTATATTGGGGATATACGAAGATGTTGGAAGTGGTACACATTAAGAACTCCAAATACTAAATTTTAAACAATTCTGGTGAAAAATAATACACAAATTATCAAGATTCGTGACGTACACTTATATTTGGACTATACGAACATGTGGTCCTGTTTAAATAATTTTGTATCATATAAGATACTACCTGTATCAGAACTAAATACCAACTTTGATATAATTCAGTAAAAAATGTTGCTACAATTATCAAAATACAGATTATTGGGAGGTAATGTTACATGGGGAATATACGAAGATGTTGAGCCAGATAGGTAATGTTCTACCATTGGTAATGGTATCAAAAATCGGGAGAAACAGATGTATGGGGACGAGACCAAAACTTTGACAGTTCGCTGCAAGTATATTCCCGACATACAAAACAAACTCACAATTCACAGAAAATTCGGCTTAAAATTAAGACTTAAATACTAAAACCATTCTAATACAGTTACATGACACCTGCACCAACACGTGGGCCTATATGGCCAAATTTCATTCTACAGATCTAAAATACAAGTGAGTATTATTAAATTGATTTCCATAGACGTTGAGGACGGACATGGCTAAATCGACATAGAATTGTATGATGATTAAAAATATAAATAAAAGGGTTCTAGAGGTATTAATAACGGAATGACAAGCTTTATATACAGGGTAAGATGAAAAAACTGAAATCAACTTCAGACTGCTATCATTTCTAAGCCGCTTGTCATTATATTGTTTACAAGCGTACAAAAGCATTTTGGTGAGAATTTTCCAGAAAAAAAATATTCGTGGTGGAATTCAAACGTGATTTCTTTATAGTTGCCTGGAAACCCACAAGTGGCTATCGTAAGAGCACTCCAGCATTTAAATGTGAATAAATCTTTTGTGTCTCGTACATCATCGCTCGTTACCGCGATACTGGTAGCGTAGCCCGACGTCAAGGAAGTGGACAACCAATCCGTTGGACTATTGTGTCTGAAGCATTTTGGAAAGTAAGGTTGGCACTAAAAAGTACCAAAGTGTCGATAACCTCAAGCAAGCGCTTCGCCTGGAATGGGCCAAAATACCACAGAGCAACATTCGGGCAGCGTTGGACGGTTTCGTCTGTCTGTTATAATCACGCTATCTTTCGAATGAATTAAGATAGATGGCTAAAATTTTGCACACATGTTTCTTTTTCCAGTAGGCAGGTTAAGTTCGTAAATGGGCCATGTAGGTTTACGTTTTCATATAGCCCCCATATAACGGTATTTTTACGACATTTTTCACCAGAATTGTTTCAAATTTGGTATTTGAAGTTCGAAATGGATACTACACCCCAAGACAGAAAATTGTCTGTGCAAGTCCACGTCTTCGTATAGCCCCCATATAGCGGTACCTCCTGATATTCGGTATTTTGATGATTTTAGCGACATTATTCACCAGAATGGTTTCAAATTTGGTATTTGAAGTTCGAAATAGATACTACACCCCAAGACTGAATACTGTCTGTGCAAGTCCACGTCTTCGTATAGCCCCCATATAACAGTACCTCCTGATATTCAGTATTTTGATGATTTTAGCGACATTATTCACCAGAATTGTTTCAAATTTGGTATTTGAAGTTCGAAATGGATGCTACAGCCTGTGACAGAAAATTGTCTATGCAGGTCCAGCTCTTCGTACAGCTCCGATATAACGGTACCTCTCTATATACGATATTTTATTCACCGTTTATTTGGAGTTTCGAATTTGAATATGGTAATTGCTTATGACAAACAATGCCTATGTAGGGCCACGTCATATATACCCCAATATAACGGCTATATTTGGTAAAATATTTGGTTTTAAAATTTTAGCAGAATGTTTTAAGAATTTTATTTTTGAAAATTTCCAAATTCGTTCCAAGTGGTGGAGGGTATTCAAAGTTCGGCACGGCCGAACTTACTGCTTTTTGACTTGTTTTTATCTCACCCTGTTCAGGCCTATGGTGGTGTGTATAAAAAATTTATCTTTAATAGCAAAAAACATGCGAATGTAGTTAAATCACATTTTTAATTTGCAATCAAGTCTCAAAACGACTACCGATGGGGTTCTTTTTTTAAGTATTCTTTTTTCATTTAAATTTCAATAAAATAAACACCCACCGGACCCGAAACAAATCTACATACTATACGATGTGTGTTGCCAACATTCAAATAGCATCCACAAAATCAATTTCCGTTAAAGGCACTTTGCAATTGAATACCTTTTAACCAGAGATGCTGACTTCAACACAATAACCAGAGAGTGCAATGTTAACGACAAGTCTCTAACCGAAAATGTTTCAATGAATGTTTGCTATTGCTATTGAATCGAACATGGACACACAAACACACACGAACACAGCCAACATTTTACATACACATTTTAGTTGAAGTTTGGTCGGTCCAACAGTCAAACCGTCCGTGTGTAGGTAAAGTGAATATATCTCTCTCAAATGTTTACTTTGGCAAAATGTGAATTGGATAAAAAAAAAAATAAACGAAAAACAAAATTGGGCTAAGTTCGGCCGGAACGAACTTAATATAACCTCCTCGAGGAAAGCAGCTATCGTACATTTTTGAAAATGAGTTGGAGTCCACTGTCATTTGGTAATGTGTAACAAAATTGAAACTGAAATGGTCATTACGGAAAATAACAGGGAAACAAGCTGAATCACATCTGCAAAAAAATTGTACAATTTACTGTACTGCCAATTGGAAATTTAAATATATATTTATATACACCTATAGTGGTTGTAAACTGTTTTCCAAAATAATGACTATTTCCTATAAAGCCACTCACGAGAAGTTGTGAGTACCACTTCAATTCTCATCGTAGTTGACATTGCCATACCCAAAATACAAAACTAGCTGGCCCGGTCCGCGTTGCCGGCCCGTGGTTTTAGTCTTTAATGCATGTTTTTTTAAAGCATAATAATTCGCAGATCTAATTCATATTAGTGGACCTGGGAGGTACCGTTACATGAGGATCATACCAAAATGTGTAGAGATAATGAAATTATTCTGGATGATGGTTCCCAACTCCTCAATGTAGCCTAAATACAAACACTTAGCCAAATCGAATGGAAAATGTGTCAAAGGCCCTCGAAATAGGTAAAATCTGGAGATAGCTTAAAAATGTATGCCCCATTTAGATACAAGATCCAAATCAATTGAAAAATATGGCCAAGCCGGAAATAGCTCAAATAAGGGGCGTATATTGATAATTTTTTGCAAATATGTTTTTTATATCCTCCACCATACATATTATGGAGGGTATATTAAGTTCGTCATTCCATTTGTAACTCATCGAAGTAATGATTTTAGATATAACAGAGTATGTATATAATTGATCTATTCTTGATCAGCGTAAAATTCTAAGACGTTTTAGCCTTGTTTGTCCGTCTGTTGTAATCACGCTAGAGTCAAAACGAATACAGGTAGGAAGCTATAATTTTGCACAGATTAATGTTTGTTTGCAGGCAAGTCAAGTTCGTAGATGGGCTACATCGGTCCACGATATCGTATAGCCTCCATATAACGGTACCTCCCAATATTCGATATTTTGAATTTTAGGTACACTATTAACCGAAATGTTTGAAATTTCGTGTTTAGAGTTCGTCTATGCCAGAAAATTGTCTATGCTGGTCCAGGTCTTCGTATAGCCCCGATTTAACGGTACCTCCCTATATTCGGTATTTTGACGACATTAGCTAAATTATTCACCGGATGTATACCCTCAACCAATGTTCGATTATTTAAATATATTTTGACCTCTGTTATGATCGTTCAAATTGTTGAGCCTCTACAGGGAAGGTTCCGAAGGAATGGCCCAATATCGTAAATTTCATATCGGACCAAACCAAATACGATATAAAAATTGTGATATGTGATAATTTTTAGAGTGCGAGAGGTACCAGATATACAGGGTGAGATTAAAAAAACTGCAAAAAAGTCAAACGCCATAATTTTTACATTTTTTAAATTTTATTGATTCAAACCAAAAAATGTCGGAAATAACATCACATTTTATAATAAGTTTAGATTTGTTCGAATTGGTCACCTTTGGCATGAATTATGGCCTTGCAACTGCCAATGAAACCGTCGCACGCTGACCGAATGATGCTCTGCGGTATTTTGGCCTATTCCCGGCGAAGCGCTTGCTTGAGGTTATCGACACTTTGGTATTTTTTAGTTCCAACCTTGCTTTCCAAAATACTCCAGACATAATAGTCCAACGGATTGGTATCCGGAGGTCTTGGTGGCCATTGTGCGCTGGAAATGAAGCGAGCAACCTAATTTTGTAACCATTCTTGGGTGGCGCGTGCTGAGTGTGATGGTGCTGATTCCTGTTGAAATGTCCAAGATCTGGGGCCAAAATGTTTGCATGTCCAAGGCTTTAATACACCCTCCAGAATATTTTCGCGATAATATTCGGCATTTATTCGAATGCCACGGTCGATAAATACGAGTGGAGAGCGACCATCGCCTGTTATTGCGGCTCACACCATCACCATGGCCGGCGCTTGAGTTCTGGTGGCCAACCGAAGGTGCACATTTTCAGCTGTACTCTTTGGCAAGTAAACACCATCATTTTGTTTGCTTACAAACTGCTGGACAACGAACGTTTTCTCATCGGAGAAAACCTAATTCGGCAGTTCACCACTTTCGGCCAAGCTAAGCAACTCTTTAGCTCTTTTAAGTCTATTTTCATTCTGTTGCGATAAATAAGTTCTTGCACGTTTTGTAATTTCAATGGCTTTACCCCGACCTCATTTTTCAATATTTGCCGAATGGAATATTGCGATATATTCAGCTCACGAGCCATTTTGCGGCCACTGCGACTCGGGTTTTGATCAAGTCGCTTCTTTACTTTTTGAACCATTACTGCTGATGTTGCTGTTTTCTTCCGTACACTTCCTTGACGTCGGGCTACGCTATCAGTATCACGGTAACGAGTGATGGTACGAGAGACAAAAGATTTATTTACATTTAAATGCTGGAGTGCTCTAACGATTGCCACTTGTGTTTTTAAAGCTAAATATAAAGAAATCACATTATCAAGCTTGAATTCCATCAAGAATAACTTTTTTTCTGGAAAATTCTCACTGGACTAGTGGCTTAGAAATGATAGCAGTCTGAAATTTGTTTCAGTTTTTTCATCTCATCCTATAGTGTTTTAGGGTATAAAAACTCCAGAAATAACAATTCAAATAAAAAAATAATTAGAAATAGTTAACTGTTCAATACAAAGAAATCCTTTAATCCTTTAAAGATCACAAACAAAATAACTTCTCCGGCTGCTGAATGAAACTAAAAGTGCTCTCCAAATGTGAGTAGTGGGAATAAAAAACATACATGTGGCAATAAAAACACGAACACCAAACATGTTCGCATACAGTCATACAGCTCTTTGGCGCACACATGTACCTTCCACATTGTTCATAGCAATGGAGCGATATGTTTGGATATGTATATGTGTACTTGTATATCTGTCTGTACATTGTACAACTTATGGGGCTGTGTGATAGTGTGTGTGTGTGTAGTATGAAATGAACCAGTTTTACCTTTTTCGAATGTATGCAATGCTTCAGTTGGCAGCCAATGTCGCCACAAATCGCCCATGTGCCGGAAATTTGTTGTTGTACCGTCCTCATGCCCCAGAACCGGAAATACAAATTGCGAAGAGAATGTTCGACCAAGCAAATCGGTAATGTTGCGCAGGATTTCCAATTTTTTCATTTCGGACATTGGATGTGCTGAGTGAGATAAACCATCTCTGAAAATGAAAACAAAATAGAAAGAAGAAAAAAAAGAACAGAATGTGAATACATATATAACAGAAATATATAGACAATAAACTATATACATACATACATACATACAGACATATAAAATACTGATATGAGAATATGTGAAATTGAATAAAATAGTCGAAAAAAGAGGAAAGTTTTTTGATAATGATCGCTTCAAGGCAATCCTAAAGGATACTCGAAAACCCCATTTCACTTGTTAATAGCAAAAGAAAACATTGGAGGAGAACAACGAAATAATCCAGCAATGAAATAATCGAAATAAAACTTTAATTAATGGATTACGTCCACTTGCAACAATAGAGAAACTTTAAAAAATGACGTCCTCTTTATATCCAGCACAATACTGTGGTCCTGGGTATTATGTTTTTGTAAATTTGTTTGAACCGATATGGAATGAATTTTGAGCATATACCAAAGAATTCTGCTTAAAAAGTAAGTCTGCAAGGATTGGTGAAAATTGGTCCAGATTGTAGCTCTCATTTATATGAATCCTCCAAGTTGGTATTTAGTTTCTCAAAACCGTAAGAAGCGCTCCAACACAAGGATATTTGGAGCAAGATATCAGAAAAGATCTTGAAATACCATTTCCATATTCGTTCAGATTTACATGAAGCTCCCTATACATTTCCTGTGATTTGATAAAAATGAGGTTAAATAAGGTCCAATTCTGGTTCATACGATCAAGTTTCGACTACACCAATTTTGGAATAAAACAGTTTTGATATAGCTATAACTCACATAGTTATGTTGCTCCCTATTTTATATTTAATCCTTCTCATAGTCGTAATAAGATGCACATTATAGCAATTATATTTATTACGAGGGGTCAAATATGACATTAAAATACCTCTATCAAATTTAGTGAAAATCGGTTCAAATTAAGATCTAGATTCTGCATGTTATTTCCATTCGGTAACATATATAAACCAATCTTAAGAACATTTGAAGCTAACTCAAACAAGTAAAAAAAACATTAAGTTCGGCCGGGCCGAACTTTTAAAACCCTCCACCTTAGGGTAAAGGAAATATTTTTATATAAAAGTATCTGAATTCAAGCGTGTTTCACATTAAACTTCATATACCAGTAAGACAGTTTGGATAATGCAGTTAACTTATTAAAAAAACAATAAAGTGGGTGAGGTCGTTATATGGGGCCATACCAAAATGGGAACCCATGTAGACAATTTTATACTTCAAAGATTGGCATCTATCAAATCTTCTAAAATATCAAATTTGAAATAATTATGTGGGTAAATGTAACTAGGATTATCAAAAATACCGAATATCGGTGGTTATCGTTAAATGTGCGCTATAGGAAAACCTGGATCTAAATATTCAATATTCCGCCACCGGGCTAGAACCCATTATAAACTAAATATACCAACTTTTATAAAAATATCGAATGTCGTCAGGTACCGTTATATGGGGCTATACCAAAACCCGGACCTACTCATACAATGCTTCGCCACACTAGCCACAACCCATTACGAACTACAAAAACCAATTTCTGGACAAATCATCAATCATCAAAACACCGAATATCACGAGGTACCGTTATAAGCGGCTATACATACGTGGACCTATATACATACAATGTTTCGCTACGGGGCTAGCACCCATCATGGTCAACAAATTCCAATTTTTAGACAAATCCGTGAAAAAAATGTGGCAAAAATCATCAAATTACCGAAGTACCGTAATATGGGGACCAAAACGTGGACCAATACATCTCATTTTCAATACCCACCATTCTAGGCACAATACAAATTGTTATGTTAAGTTTTGACGCTCTACGTCAAGAAATGTGGACTGTATTGTGATTTAAACAGATAGACGGACATCGTTAAATCGACTTAGCATATTATGCTAATTATTAATACATATACTTCATGGGGTCTACGATAAATATTTAGGGATATTACAAACGGAATGGCAAAGTTAATATACCCTTCTTTCCAAGGTGGAGGGTATAAAAATTTAAACAGGGTGAGATGAAAAAACTCCAACTAACTTCAGACTGCTGTCATTTCTAGAATTATTCCAGTGACAGCTCATTATATTGTTTAAAAGCGTACAAAAGCATTTTGGTGAAACTTTTTCAGAAACAAATTGGACTATTGTGTCTGGAGTATTTTGGAAATCAAGGTTGGCATTAAAAAATACCAAAGTGTCGATCACCTCAAACAAGCGCTTCGCCGGGAATGGGCCAAAATACTGCAGAGCAACATATGTAATTCGTGCCAAAGGTGACCAATTCAAACAAATCTAAACGTATTCTAAAATTTGATGCTATTTCCGAAATTTTTTGCTTTCGTTCAATAACATTAAAAAAATGTAAAAATTATGGCATTTGACTTTGTTCGAGGCAGGAATGTCCAATGTGCAGCTATCGATTGGGCACTTAAATACAATTCAAATAAAGGGATTCAGAAAAAAATGACATAAAAAAAGTTTTTTGGTCTGCAAAGGCCAATGCGCAGCTAATGTTGATGCAGGTAAATAGAAACCACTGTATATGTAACCTCTTGTTCCTATAAATGTTGAATGGTGGTTTATTATTTGGTAGAGTCATATAAAAGTGCTCCCGATTTTAAGACTGCCCAACAAATTTTTGTCCTAATTCGGCGTTTCAGGATAGGTGGATATGAACTCTCCTTTCAGAAAATACTCAAAATGGAACCATTATTTCATAAGGTTTTGCGGTTCGTTCTTGTTTTCGGTTTTAGCCCCAATTTCTAACCTATTGAGCTGAGATTTGAAATTTTGGGCTCTTAACAAATTGATTTATTTCTAAAGATTAAGAACATCGTAGTACCACCCAACAATTTGGAAGCCACATGTGTCACTTTCAGCACTACGAGTAATGACAAATACATATTTTATTTAATACCAGCAAGCTACAAAATAACGAGTTATTTCAATAAAAATTTACCAAGTAACAGCACACTCAACTACGAAACTTTTTAAATGAGTATTATAGCCGTTGAGCATAATAATTTGGAATTAGAGACAACTAACATATGGGAGGTATATCCAACTCTGAATAGATTTCTATCAAATTTGTCAGAGGCATTCGTACTCGGACAAAAAAACTATTACTACAGAGTGCACGAAATATCTTCGAGAAGAATTATATTCAAAAATATATACCGGAGCAATAGATGTATGAGAAATGAGTGCCACCAAATGAAAACATAGCTTGAATATGCAATATTCCACCAAATATTACATATTTGGTAGAAAATAGACATGAAATCGGATAAAAATATATGTGGAAGCTATATCTAAATTTGCAACGATCTCTATGAAATCTGGTGCCAAATACCAAATACCATTGCAGTAGAATTCATATTGCGAATGTGAGGCATTCAAACTTCAAATCGGATGAAACATATATATCGGTCGGATGTTTAAAAATCCTCTCCATTTGGCTAATATATAACATATACAGGGTGATATGAAAAAACTGCAACAAACTTCGCTGCTGTCATTTCTAAGCCACTCGTCCGACAGTTGTTAAAATTATTCCAGTGAAAGCTCATTATATTGTTTACAAGCGTACAAAAGCATTTTTGTGAGAATTTTCCAGAAAAGAAGTTATTCGTGATGGAATTCAAGCGTGATAGTGTGATTTCTTTATATTTGGCTGGAAAACCACAAGTGCCTATCGTTAGAGCACTCCAGCATTGAATTGTGAATAAATCTTTTCAGCACCATCGCTCTCAGATCGCGCCACCCAAGAATGGTTACAAAATGAGGTTCCTCGCTTCATTTTCAGCGCCCAATAGCCACCAAAATCTCCGGATACCAATCCGTTGGACTATTGTGTCTGGAGTATTTTGGAAAAAAATACCAAAGTGTCGATCACCTCAAGTAAGCACTTCGCCGGGAATGGGCCAAAGTAGCACAGAAAAACATTCGGGCAGAGTGTGACGGTTTCATTGGCCGTTTGAAGGCCATATTTCGTGCCAACGTGAACAATTCGAAAAAATCTAAACTTATTCTAAAATTTGATGCTATTTCCGACATTTTTGCTTTCATCCAATGAAATTTTAAAAAAAATGTAAGAAATATTTTGTAAAGTTTCTGACTGATCTTCACTCAAAGATCGACAATTCTGTTTATTAATCTACCCATTGAAACAAAAATAAGCTTTATCATGAAATAGATGAATCGCGGGATGAACTTTCTTATCAGAACACGCATTTTGATAATAAAACTCGATGATTTGGAAGCATTCTTCGTTATTAAGACAATTATTGCTTAAATTATAGGCCAGACAGTGAAACATAACAGGAAACGTGCGTGAGCTGTTTAAGTCAGTGTTGTCAAAAAGATAATACCTAAAATATCAGCCCTTATATGTTCTTTTGAAATGTTGGCGTTCTGACCTAATACTGTTGCTATACCAAAGATGGGCCTACATTGATCATTTTTTTCGTGTCAAGAACCTAAAGTACCAACATTTAGTGAAATTAGTTGGAATTTTAAAATTCCATTTTCAATCTTGCGAAAAAAGTTCAAAATATTATATCACGAGAGGCCAAATTACTTAGATTTTTAAAACTAATTGTATAGAATAAACTAGCTGACCCGGTTCACGCGGCTGGCCCACATTTTTAGTGTTTAATGTATATTTAACCAGTAAAGAAAGTCTTAAAGTCGGGCGGGGCAGACTTTATGATACCCTACACCACTTAGCATATTTAATAGAGCTTCACATAATAATTAAAAGTTTTTATGGGTGAATTAAATAATACAAGCTATGATTATAATTATAATTTAAAGTTCAAAGGACTAAATATGCCGAAGCATTTGTACCTTTTCAATTCCGGCCTGTATTGTTCATTTTATGCACAATTAACTTGAAATCGGATATATGGAAGCTATATCCAAATCTGAACCGATCTCGATAAAATTTGGCAAAGGTATTTCTGATCTGTTTTTGATATATTTCCCTGAA